GTGTGTGTGTGTGTGTGTGTGTGTGTGTGTGTGTGTGTGTGTGTACGCACACACACACACACACACACACACACCCCATATCTTCTTTATTTGTCATTCTTTTACTGACTTATTTTGCTTAGCATCATACTCTGTAGCTCCATCCATTTCATTGCAAATGGTGCTGCTTTATTTTATACACTTGATTTTAAAAGCCAGGATTTCCAGTATTTCAAATCCAAACCCAGATTTTAGTCTGGTAGGTTTTTTAAGCTTTTCCCAACTTTTTCATAGTATTTACGAGTTCCAAGGTAAGGGTAAGAACTTGAAGCTTTGTTTGATATTTCACAAATTAAATAATTTGGGGATAATACTAACATTTTAACTAGACCGTTGTATTAGTTAGGTTTTCTCGTTGGTCTAGGAGGCTTCCTCCTGGGAAGGCAAAAAGTTTACCCCAGAAATCACAAGACTCTTTGAAGGACAATAGCCCCCTTAGTCATGATACCTGGGGGGTAGGAGGGTAGCAAGAGCGAACTCATGCAATACCTCAGCCAGTATGACCTCAGTCTGTGCTGCTGATTGACAGGAGAATCATTCCTAGAGAAGACTCATTTCTGTGGTCAGATCCTGTCTGGATTGGTGTCTGTTCTATTAGGAAAGTATTCAGAATAGCTGATGCCACATCGTACTCTGAGATGCCCACTCCATATTCTGAGAATTGGTACCTTCTCATTACATGGTAAGTTACTCTTAAGTTGGATCCCGAGAAGACCATCACTTACTCCGCTTTTTCAACCTTGAGACTTTGTCATCAACACCGTGTCCCCAAAAACCCTTTGCTGAAGGGGAAGGCACCTCTCTCTGTCTCCCAGAATGGGAGCACCTCCGCTGCCATGAGGTTAATACACTGTTGGGATTCCTTCTGCTGATGATTTTTGTCTTTTTTAAGGGACCCTGCAGCTTTAACAATTTTTCTTCTTGAATATTAGTATTTACTGACACCTGGGTACATATGTACATATTTACGTATGTATTGAGACAAATTTCTTTGGTCTTAAGCAAACTAAAGCAAACTTACTCTGGCATGCAGAGTAAGAGGTTGGGAGAACTAGCAGTTGTTACATAAATGCAGAAAGGGCTCTGACAGATCATGCTCCTGTGTGACATTTGTTATCCGTAAGGTTTTCTAGCATAAGCCACATTTCTGTTGTTCCAAAATTTGGTCAGCAAAGCTCACAGATCCCGCCTGGAGGGCCTTCATAGCCACTCTTGGTACCGCGGCCTACCTCTTCACTGGAATGTCTTCATACTGTGCCTGAAATTTCGCCCCCATTTGTGCTAGTGAAGCCCACAGTTAGAGGCCTAGAGGTCACTATGCTAACAAATGAGAACTGCGTGCCTCCTTTTTTACCTGTGTTGGGTAACAGCAGTTATTTTATTTTTTAAGTTGCATCCAGGAACTAGCCTGTATATATACTCCTTGAGCTGTTATTTTCTTTCCTTTGTTATGTCTATTAAGCTTATTAAAGGGATGGGCAGGAGAGTCAACATTTATTGAGCACCTACTAGGTGCCAGGCACTGTGCTGTGTGCTTCAGATGTATTATTTAATACTCAAAACAGCCTTATGAGATAGGTACTCTCATCCCTCATTTCAGGTAAGCAAACTAAGTAACTTTCCTCTAATTCAGGTTTCTCTGTTTTAATTATAAAAGATGTATAAATTGATAGTGATATTGTAATAGTCGATGTAGCTATTGATGGTAGCTACACTTGTGTTGAACTTAGCATAGTGTATAAACTTGTGGAATCACTATGTTGTAACATTGTGTGTCAACCATACAAAAAAAAAAATGTATAAATTGGTGATGGTTTTCTGTCAGACCTGCAAACCAGTTTTGTCTCCGCCTTTCCCTTATGTTTTATGGTATCGGTTCCCCTTTTGTGACTCTTCCAGGGAATGGTCATATATAGACAACCTCCCTACCGCTTGTGAGACCCTGAATCCTGACGATGGTGTTATTGACTTTCCTAGGGTCCTATCCTTCCCCTAAAGCTGGGGCAACTCTGGTCGTGTACAAGGACCTGCTGGTGCTGTTTGGTGGCTGGACGCGGCCAAGCCCTTATCCCCTACACCAACCAGAGAGATTCTTTGATGAAATACATACTTACTCACCCTCTAAAAACTGGTAAGCCACAAAGATAAGATTCTTCCAATCTGGAATAAAAGATTTTAGATAAATGGATTCCTGGGGTGCCTGGGTGGCTCCGTCAGTTAAGCGTCTGACTCTTGATTTCAGCTCAGGTCATGATCTTGCCATCCTGAGATCAAGCCCCTCCTTGGGCTCCACTCTGAGTTCCTCACTGGGCATGGAGCCTATTTAGGATTCTCTTTCTCCTTCTGCCCCTCCGCTGCTTGTGCTCACTCTCTCTCTCTCTCTCTCTCTCTCCAAAAAAAAAAAAAAAATATATATATATATATATACACACACACACACACACACACACACACACACACACACACATATTTATATATACATACATATATGAATAAATGAATCTTTTCTGTGACCAGGAATCTCTTTGAGAATTTGGTAAAAGCTATGGACTCTTTTCCAGAAAAAAAAATTTACATATGCATAGATTTTGCTGACAGTTTCAGAGAGTTTACAGGACCCCCTGAAAACTAAAGCTAAGGGGTGTCCGGCTGGCTCAATCGGTAAGAGCACGTGACTCTTGATCTCCAGGTCGTGAGTTCAGGCTGATAGAGCTTACGTTTTTGAAACATTTTTGTTGTTGTTGTTGTTGTTGTTGTTGTTGTTGTTGTTGTTGTTAAGTTTAGAGAAAAGGTTAAAAATTTTTTGAAAGAAAAAGAAACTAAAGCTATGAACCTTTATTCCCAAGAGAAAAAGTGGAAGAGATTTATTCCTCTTCCTAGAGAAATGAATGTGCCAGTTGGAGAATAGTTCTGGCTGCTAATTCCCCAGGTGTGCTGTGGATTCAGATGATTCATTGTTCCTTCTGTGTCCCCAAGACTGACTCCTGACTCTTTTTCCTTTGTTCTTGGAACAGACTACTTAGTACAGGGCTCTCAGTAGCTGCAGCTGATCGGGACTGTAGAAGGAAGTACAGGTGATGCTCCTTTAGCACGCTAGCCTGGAGCGGCGAAGAGCCACGATGGCTTCCCTGGTCCTCTCTCCGCTCTACCTCCAAGCCATACACACTGAGAACTTGAAAGTGAATATAGCTTTAGCAGGTTTATAAGAAGGGCATAAATACCTTCTGCCATCCTCCATTTATTGTCCTACCAGTAGCTCTACTGAAGGTGAGAGAATCGTCACGTCAAGTGGATACTGACTTACTGCTGCCACCTGAAACACATACGACCAGGTGGTGCTGACTTCTTGGCTTCTTTCTGTCTTTTTATATTAGGTGGAACTGCATTGTGACAACCCATGGGCCACCTCCCATGGCTGGCCATTCCTCCTGTGTGATAGATGATAAAATGATTGTCTTTGGTGGCTCCTTAGGATCCCGGCAAATGTAAGTATATTTGGTTTGCTGACTATCAACCTGAAGGTAAATACTCCTGGGAATAACAGGTCAGACGAGTGAACTAGTCAGGTTAGTATTCCTGAGCATGGTTCTAATTAATCCAACCACGTGTTGCTTCCTAGCATTCCAGTTGTTGATCCCCTCATCATAGAGCAATACATTGGAAACCTTCCTCCATAAAGTCAGAGCTGTGTAGGATCTTTTTATTTGGTATGTGGTTCATTCGGTGGGATCAAATTCTGAGATAGCCTCCACCTTGTCTGTTTCTACCTGTGCTTACGGAAGGCTGCTGTCCAAGAAGCACAGGGTGCTTTTACCTGCTCTCCTTTGTGAGCCAGCCTGTGCCCTTTTGGGCTTTAGCAGAGAGAGCTAGATTGGTTCCTTCTCCAGACAGGATGGGTTGGGGGAGTGGGTAGGAGCAAGAAATCTGTCAGGTCTGATACACCGACTATCCTCATCATCTCTGGCCATGACTCAGCAGCTCAGGCCAATGTCAAGAGCCAGAGCCATCCATCTGAATCCCTCTTTATCTGGTTTGGTGGTAGCTGCAGTAGTGGTCATTTTCCCTGTGCTCTGAAAGGCAGGTTGATGGGCTGTCAGCAGTAAAGCCATTCCAGACCCAACCCTGTTCCCTGTCAGGCAGCGTACCCCACATCTTCCTGTTTTAAAACAGTTGAGACAGCTGCCCTTCAGCTGAGACAGTTTAGGGCTTTACGGTATTAGAGTTCTTATTCCGTGTTCCTCTATGTGAATAAACGACCTTAGCAAGATGACTGTAAAATAGAGACTGCCTTCCAGGAGTCTGTCCTTGCCGTACTGGTCCCTTGGGGGTTGGAGATGCCAGTTTGTCCTTGATAAAACTGCAAATCTCATTAGCCACGGTGAAATTAATTTGTATAGCCAGAATTGACAAATCTTTATCTCCTAGACAATCATAGAGCTACTTTTTGCATCAGTTTTTTTCTCTTCCTTGTGGCTTTTGCTTTTGAAAGACTGTATCTTGACCAGTAGCTGTTGCTAATTAAACTTCCAACGAAAATTCATTCTTACTTTAGATACTAGTATGTCGCTGTAGGTTTCACTCAAAAGAGGACTTACGGGTCAGTGGGAAGAACAAAGGTTTGAAGTTCTTGAGGTGGGTTCCAGGGAAAGAAGAGGAAGAAAAATATAATTTAAGATGGCATCAGCATGGCACTTTGCTAGGCATCTTTATAAATGTGACTTCAAGGGGCACCTGGCTGGCTCAGTTGGTAGAGCACGCAACTTTTGATCTCAAGGTTGTGAGTTCAGGCCCCATGTTCAGCATGGAGCCTACTTAAAAATAATAATAAATAAAATATCAATGTAACTTCATTTATATCAGCTCTGGGGTCCCTGGTGGCTCCTGACTCCTTCATTCTCCTGTCCTTATCTTATAGGAGCAACGATGTCTGGGTCCTTGACCTCGAGCAGTGGGCGTGGTCCAAGCCGAACATCTCCGGCCCCAGTCCTCATCCTCGAGGTGGCCAATCTCAGGTGCTCAGGAATTAAAATAACTATTCAGCAAACACTGTAGCATCTTCCTGTTAGGATGGGAAAGGGAGGAGGGAGTCAGGTAAGATGCCAACATGCATAAGCCAAAGAGACTTTGTCGTTCTTTTTTGCTGGTATTTATTTTTCAACTTCTAATGGGTTGTATTAATTTTTAGTGGCTTTATATTTTGCCTCTCCCCAAAGCATTTACTTTGCTATTTCATTTCTCAAGAGAACCCTGCATTTTATGTGGTTGGTACGCTCATTTTAATGTTTGATCAACAAAGGATATATCCATTCAGGTGAATCATCAGTAATTTGCCCCCAGACATCAGAATTAACATGGTTTGGGGAGACTGGAGAGCTTATGATGACTAGAATACTCTCATTTGGGATCTGGGTAGGCTGTTTTCATATACCACTGATGCGTAGGAGGTCAGGTGCCTGTGTCTTTGTAGTTTTATTTTAAATGTCTTCCTCTCCCCAGATTGTCATAGATGATGCAACTATCTTAATCCTTGGAGGGTGTGGCGGTCCCAACGCTGTGAGTATTGCTGGTGTGGCATATTCCGATGCACACGTTGCTAAGTGTTCGAAACTTGTTTCCCTGTGTCACCTTGTAAGCAGTGATAAGACCATTTCCACATTTGTACTTAGAGAATACGTTTTCACTTTGGGTATATATATAACCTTTGTATTTTCTGGCTGAGATCTGCTTTTTGTTTTTGTTTTTTGGAGGAGGGAGAGGTGCTTTTAATCAGAGATGTTCGTCTCTTAAATATTTGTATATTCTCCCTACTCCTACTTCCTCTTTTAGGCTGTAATGTGCTGTCATGTTTCTAGGAGGAGTGGGACAGAAAAACAGTTTACATGGAATTTATTTAAGAATGCAGATTCAGAAAGTTATGGATATGTATTATTTACGCCACCTACACATGCGCTGTACCACAGGCAAAATTTAGAACCACTTAAAATTCATTCGTAGGTCACAAGCACAGTTTCATATTTCCAGGCCAGTGGTGGTATATGAATAAATGAAGGGGCGTGAATGAATGGCTAACCAAAAATTTTGCTCTTCTGAAGAGCCCACACACTCTCTAGACCAAACAGCATGGCTTTGAGATTCCAACTGTGTGTGTATGTTTTGTGACCTGTACCACACCTGAGCCCTCCTGTCGGTCCTTCTCTTACAGCTCTTCAAGGATGCTTGGTTGTTGCACATGCATTCAGGCCCCTGGGCCTGGCAGCCACTCAAGGTAGAAAATGAAGATCATGGGGCTCCAGAACTGTGGTGCCATCCAGCTTGTCGGGTGAGCAGAGGACTGACAGGCCAGTGAGAGAGGACGTCCTAACTGTAGGGCCAAATTAGCTCGTCAGACTTCCAAGCAAATTTGTATAGAAATGAAAAACACCTTGACATCATAAAAGAAGTGGGCATTAACCATAACTCCTTGGGCATTGCTCATATATGAACCTTTAGATGAGAAACCTGTGTGGGCCCCACTGATCCTTTTTTTTTTCTTTTAAGTGTATTTATTTATGTAATCTCAACACCCAACGTGGCGCTCGAACTCACAACCTCAAGATCAAGAGTAGCACGTTCTCCTGACTGACCTAGTCAGGCGCTCCCCACCCCACCCCATATACCCCACTGATCCTTTTAGTGCTAGCTTTTTTTTTTTTTTTAATTTTTTTTTTTTTTTTAACGTTTATTTATTTTTGAGACAGAGAGAGACAGAGCATGAACGGGGGAGGGTCAGAGAGAGGGAGACACAGAATCTGAAACAGGCTCCAGGCTCTGAGCTGTCAGCACGGAGCCCGACGCGGGGTTCGAACCCATGGACCGTGAGATCATGACCTGAGCCGAAGTCGGCCGCTTAACCGACTGAGCCACCCAGGCGCCCCTAGTGCTAGCTTTTTAAGCATCTCTTTGTCTATGAACCTTTCTTCAGGTCCCCAAACCAAAACTAATTCCTCCCTCCACCCCTCCCCTGTCCTGTACATACAATTCTAATGGTAACACCTGTCTCGCTCCAGCAAAAATTATCCCCATGTCTATCTCCCCTTCTAGCCTAGAAGGCAGGCTCCATTATTTTCATCTCGGTGTCTCAGGTACCTACAAAATGCCTGGCCTCCCCAGATGCTCATGATCAAATGTTTGCCGTTTAGACGAATGATCAGAACTGAGCACAGGTCTTTTGTCTTCCAGGTGGGGCAGTGCGTGGTGGTCTTCAGTCAGGCTCCTAGCGGGAGAGCCCCACTCAGCCCAAGTTTGAACTCTCGCCCATCACCTATCAGCGCCACTCCTCCAGCCCTGGTTCCCGAAACCCGAGAGTACCGCTCTCAGTCTCCAGTAAGGAGTATGGATGAAGCTCCTTGTGTTAACGGCCGCTGGGGAACACTGAGGCCCAGAGCTCAAAGGCAGACCCCCTCAAGTTCCCGGGAAGGGAGCCTGTCCCCAGCCAGAGGAGATGGCTCCCCCATCCTCAATGGTGGGAATTTGTCTCCAGGAACAGCAGTGATTGGTGGCTCTTCCTTGGACAGCCCTGTGCAGGCCGTGTCTCCTAGCACTCCATCTACCACTGACGGATATGACCTCAAAATGGGACTTTCTTTGGCCCCCCGACGAGGGTCACTACCAGATCAGAAAGATCTGAGGTTAGGATCAATAGATCTGAATTGGGATCTGAAACCCACTTCGAGTAGCAATCATATGGATGGTGTGGACAACAGGACAGTTGGGGGAAGCACGAGACACCCTCCCGAACAGACGAATGGTGTGCATACCCCACCACACGTGGCCAGTGCCCTTGCAGGGGCTGTCTCCCCAGGTGCCCTGCGTCGGAGCCTAGAAGCCATCAAAGCAATGTCATCCAAAGGCCCCTCAGCGTCCACAGCACTAAGTCCTCCTCTGGGGTCTTCTCCAGGCTCCCCCGGGAGCCAGAACCTGAGCAGTGGAGAAACAGTGCCCGTCCCTCGCCCAGGGCCTGCCCAAGGAGATGGGCATTCCTTACCTCCCATTGCCCGCCGCCTGGGCCACCACCCTCCGCAGTCCCTGAATGTTGGCAAACCTTTGTACCAGAGTATGAACTGCAAGCCCATGCAGATGTACGTGCTAGACATTAAAGACACCAAGGAGAAGGGGCGGGTCAAATGGAAAGTATTTAATAGCAGTTCTGTGGTCGGACCTCCTGAAACCAGCCTGCACACAGTGGTACAAGGCAGGGGCGAACTCATCATATTTGGAGGACTCATGGACAAGAAACAGAATGTGAAGTACTATCCAAAAACAAACGCCTTGTACTTTGTGCGAGCAAAGAGATAATATGTTCTAAACCCCCTTCCCTTTCTGTGGCTTTTAATTTTCCAGTGTGCAAGCATTTGGACTGCGAATTGGGAAAACAAAGGACAGAATTACCCCATAAACCAAACCCCCAGTTCCCAACCTCACTCGCTGCAGGCTGGGGTCAAACCTCCATTACGAAAAAAATTATATATAAATATATAAATATATATTATATAGCCAACTGTGTTTACAGAGAGGGAGAGGTCTCCGTCCTGGTTCAGATCAAATTGTTGCTGTGTTTTAGCAGAGGCTCGGCTGCCTTTTTCTACATTGCTGGTAACTAGACCAAGAATTTAGGGAACAGACTAATGTCAGAACGTAACCTAAGGCAACTGAAGAGCCCCCATAAGTCCTTACGTGGCCTTCTTGGAGTTAGAGAAAGAAAGAGCGTGTGTGAGGTGCACGGGTGGAGGCTCCAGACCCACGAGCTCCAGGAGCTGGCAGGGGGAAAGGAGCCTGTAGAGAACTATTCCTCCCTTCCCTTGAAAAGCGCAGAGGACCCGAGCGGTAACGCCCTCTGCCTGGCCCCGTTCTGCCCTCGTGACTGAGGAAAGTTACCCAGCCGGGAGTTCTTTGCCACATGTGTGTGCCAGGATCACCGTGAGACGACGTTTATGCAGACACGCCTGTCTACCTCGTGTCCACTGGTCTTTTGCGTGCTCCCTCTGTGTCTCAGAAAAAACATTTTGGTGTCTGATTTTGGAATTTTCTGACAATCGTATTTGATTGCAAGTTGCCAAAAACCACATTTGTTCCCTTAAAACTTGATCCTCAGAGGCTGCC